CCTTTCTAAATATATCAAATAAAAGTAATAATTTATATGGTAGAAGTGGCTACAGGTCTATTTCCTTGAGAGCAAAACTGCATTTATAGAAGCAAGGGACAAAATGTTTCAAAGGCAACAGCCAGAGTCATTTCCTGGTGTTAATTTTCTACTCCTAACTTTATAGCCCCTGTTTCCTGTCACTGCAACAATACCAGCCAGGTCCCACTTGATTTGACAGTTATACAAAGCTACTTTAGGCAGTTTGGGATCTTTTTACAGTAGAGATTTTGTCTTCAAGAAAGCATGCTTAGGAAAAAGCAGTGTGCACTTGAAAAAATAACAGACGATCAGAAAATTAAAGACAAATTTTGATGACCTACAGTTCCAACTACTTGGGTCAGACCGTAATGAAAATATAAATGACAATGGTTCAGACAGTAATTTTACTCAGCTTCAGTGTAAAAACTAAGGCATTCTGAAACAAGTATATAAAGCTCAGTTTTACCAGAAAGCAATGCACAAAATAACCAGAAGTCCCATTTGGATCCTGGAAAAGTATCCTTACTAATCTCAAATCTACTCACATACTTGGTTCTGTGATCTTTGATAAATCACTAAATTACTTTGTGCCTCATTTATAAACTGCAGCTGTTCTGACTATCCATCTCTTTATCTTACTGTATGAAGGAATGACCAGAGAAACTACCTAAATTACCATTAGGAATTATTAACATTAATTTAAAAAGGGGAAGGAGAAGGAACAGCACCTTGTGAATTCATCCTAAAAAGTCAAATGAAGACAGACCCCAAGTATTTGTGACTGTGTTGCAAAGTAATGGGATTATGACTGGGTTTTACTTTTCTTATTGTCTGAATTTTCTGTATCAAGCACACATTATTTTTATAACTTCAGAAAACAAACAACAAAAAGGCTATTTGGGAGAAAAAGAAAACAAGTACATTCAATTCTACTATATGCAATGCTCCTGACCCTAGGCCCTTTACAATTCTCTTGATCTTTCTACACATTACAGACTCACTTCTTTGAGTAGTTCTTAATCATTCTTTAAGGTTTTGCTAAATTGTTACCTATGCTTTGCTCTTCTAGGCAACAGTTAGATTGTCATATAATTCTGTTCATATCTATATTCTAGCACTTGATGAATTTTATCATGATGACATGGTTACTTATGTGTCTCCCCGCCACCACCCTGATCCCCTTAATTAAACTGTGTGTTCATGGTTCAGTTACTTTGCTGCATAAAAGATCTGCATTAGAGGACAAGATCACCTGATACTAAAAACAAGTAATATCAGCTATTTCTAAATAAACTCTGACCCACCTACTGGAGCTGAGGTTTGAAAAAAGCAAATAATAACTTAAAAAAAAAAAAGTATTTGTTCTACTTTCCATTATCCAGAGAAAAACTAAGAACACACCTACTATTTATGTGACAGACCCATTACTGGAATAACATCTGTCCTTTCTAAATATATCAAATAAAAGTAATAATTTATATGGTAGAAGTGGCTACAGGTCTATTTCCTTGAGAGCAAAACTGCATTTATAGAAGCAACTGAGTCAGAAGATTAGTTTAGGCAATTCTAAGTGAGAAGCAGTGACTTCTATATCAGCTATTTTAGTACGGTTTGGCAACTTCTTTCCAACTAAAATAATGTCCATTGGATTTTTCAAGAAGAAAAAGATTAAAAAAAAAATTTAAAATCCTCTAATTGAACTTTCCAGCAAAGAAGTACTAGCTCATCAATGTACCTCCAACCAACATTTATAGAGTATCTTTGGTTAAGAACTAAGGGTGTAAGATTCCTACACCAGAGGAGTCAGGTTAAGAAAATACAACATGTTCTGAATTTACGAAAAGTTCTCCGATTTTGATGTGAGTTGTCAAACCATTTCATGAAGAAAAATACCTGTGTTTTTTTATAACTACACCATCACATAAAGCCTTTCTATAAAGGGCTTAACTAAAGCATTGTCTTTAGTTGCCAAGAAGGCTTCTCAGACTCATCCCCCAAGCTGAGATAGGTTTCCATCCTCTCTGTTCTATAGCACCCTTTGTTAATCTCTACTGTAGCATATATCTATTAAGGTTGAAAATTAAATATAGCCACAATATCTCTACAGCTCCTCCATCAAGAGGTATAGTCTATTTCCCTAAACCCAAGAATCTGGACTGGCCCTGTGACTTGCTTTGACCAATAAAATGTGACAGAAGTGACACCCTGTAATTTCTAAGCCTTAGCCTTAAAAGATGCATTACAGCTTCCACATCTGCCCTAGGACCACCATGCTGCTATGAAGAAGTCCAAGATTAAAGACCACACGAAAAGAAAGATTCAGCCATCCCAATCCCAATCGAGCCCAGTCACCAGTCAATGTACCAGATCAGTGAAGTTACATGAACCAAAACAAGACCAGCAAAACTACCCACTCAATGGACAAAATCATGAGAATAAATTGTTTCAAGCCACTCAATTCTGAGGTAATTTGTTACAAAGCAAAGATTAGTACACACTACTGCAACAAGAATCCTAACAACTATCACCTACCCTAAGCTATAAGCATCTTGAAGATAGGAACCATGTCCAATTCATCTCTGTTTTCATTCAGCCTTTTAAGAGCTTCTCTTTGTGATGTTTGCCAGTTTCACTGTCATCCTGATTGGGACTCACACTGTTCCTTGAAGCGGAGGATTTTTGTCTTATCACTTCTGGAACATATTCAGCTATTATCTCAAGTAACTCCTTCTCTCCCATTCTAGTCTATTTTCCAAGTAACCTCTGCAGATTCATTTGGCAGGTATTTGATTTTCTCTTCAGCCATGTCTAATCTACTATTTAACACATCAGTTGCACCTTTAACTTCACTAGCTCTAATTTTCACTAAGTTTGCTTGGCCTTTTAAAATTTTTTGATAATTTTGTTCATTTCTAATATTTTCAAATTTTTCTTCAAATCTTCAATCATTTCAATATTTATCTTAAAGTTATAGCTAATAATTCAAATGCCCGAGTTTTGGTGAGATTTGATCCTGCTGTGGTTTGCCTGTTCTTTGCTCTTTGTAAATTTTGGATTATCTGATATTCTTTATCAGGGTAATCTGTGGTAATACCATGCAGCCTGGGTGGCAGGCATGTCCCTCCAGAGTAGTTCTGCAACTGACTCTGTCAGGTGCCCTAAAAGTATTACCAAGCCAGGAATATTCAGGTAGTGTAAATTCAAACCCCAAATACCCGAAGGCAAGCCTATGGGTACAAATTCTCAACAAGATTCCCCTCTAAACCTATGTCCATGCTAAGAAGACTTAAGCTAAACATACTGAAGGTTCTAGAGGGGAGGGGGGTGGGGGATGGGTTAGCCTGGTGATGGGTATTAAAGAGGGCATGTACTGAATGAAGCACCGGGTGTTATACGCAAACAATGAAATCATGGAACACTACATCAAAAACTAACGATGTAATGTATGGCGATTAACATAATATAATAAAATTTAAAAAAGAAAAAAAGACTTAAGCTAAGTTTCCTTATTTTCTTCCTGTGATTTTAAGTTATTTTTTTCCAAGTCTATCCTTTCAATTAGGATGCATCATCCCCTGAAGGTGCTATATAAGGAAATCTCAGTTCCAACATCCCTCTCTGTAAAGCCCAAAGCCTTATCTCTTACCCAATTTATCTATCAAAACCCATACCTATTGGTCATAAAGAATAGCATTCCCCCAGTACAGCCCCAGTGTCGGCTTTTACATATAGTTTTGGCTTTCAGTGTCCCTCTTTGCTTTTGCTCCTTTGGGATTTCTTTATTTTCTTAAGAATAGAGCTATGAAAGGGTGTCTGTTATATTTCGTTCAGCTCTCCTAAATATTTTGTATTGGGACATTTTTGGGTTTTCTAGGTCATCATATTTCCAAAAATGGGAGTTGTCAGCCTCAGTACTGAAAAACAGCATTTGGTAGATTACTAGCTGTCAACTGAATATTCAACAAAACACTCAATTAGGACTTCTGGCATGGAAGAATGACAGGCTTTTAAATGTATTTCCTAAATCCAATGCAATTTTAAAATCTAGTAGTGGCTGCTAAAACAAAGTTTCAAAAAGATGAGTGAGCATCACTGAGCAACAAGTTGCAATAATCCTATCATACTTTACTTTGATCTCATAGACTGAACAATAATTGTATTACTTTCTTCACTTACCAGTTCTACATGCAATAAGCCAATATACTGTAGAGATGTACTGAAAACACAGAGGAAACATTTTAAATTTGTAGAGCATATTGCTCAATTTCTTTTCAGTAAACAAGATAGATGACAGAGCAAGAATAAAAGTTCTCTGGAGGAGCCCTGAGGGTCCTTCCCATTTACCATAAATGATTCATCAAATTAGAAACAGGAAGAGTAAGTCAAACAGTACTTCAAAAATTAACAAGAAAATTTTCAAGTGAAAGAAACCCAAAAAGAGAGAAGACTGATCTATTTGGCATGTTACTTGTTCATGCTGTCTTCCTTCCTATTACAGAAACTGTTCCTAGGCTAACCCCTCCACTCATGCAACAGGAAACCTCTCTCCCTAATCAAAGACTTGGCCCTTCTCTGGTACTAGTAATGTCCCCCTCTTTACTGAATAACTCCCATCGGTGCATTTGTATCATAAAATCTCTCACTGGAATCCCTATTCCTCTTCACCTACCATGCCATATTTTTTTTTTTTTAGCAAAAATCCTTAAAACAGTTGTTATACTATCACTTCTTCCTCACCTACCATTTACTACAAAACCCACACGAATGTTGCTAATGATCTCATCTCTCTCCTGAAAACAAAAAAGCAAGCAAAAACAAAAACAAAAACATCCTTCTTAAGGATCACCCAGGTCTCTCCTGTCTTTTTTCAGTCACCATCGAAAGCAACCTCTCAGCAGAATCTAACATACCTGGTTATTCCCGCTCTCTTGAAACACTTTCTTCATCTCTCTTCCAAGGCATTCCAATCTCCTAGTTTTCTTTATATCTCACTACTTATATCTTCTCAGTCTTCTCTGCTGGTTTCTCTTCATCTCCATCTCTCAATGTTGAAGTATTCCAAGAATCAGTTCTTCACTCAACTCTTCAGTTTCTATGCTCACTCTGTGGGTGATCTCATCTAATCCCATAGCTTTAAATACCATCTATATACTGTTGATGCCAGCCACAGTTGCTCCAGAAGATCAATCTCATACAGTCAACTACTTGACATCAAGAAATGGATATATAACAGTCATCTCAAATTTAGTATGTTCAACTTCTGATCCCTCTAACCCAATCCTGGTCCTAGCTCTTTCCATTTTAATAAATGGCACTACCATATACCTAACAGCTCAGGCCAAAAACTAGGAATCATCATTTATTTCTCTCTTTGTCTCAAATCCCACATATAAATTGCCCACCCTATCAGTTCTACCTTGAAAATATATCCTGAATCAGACCACGTTCATCTTCTAATCTTAAGCCCATGTTCTCTCTCCCTTTAATAACTAAAACAGCCTTCCATCTGCTCTTCTTGCTATCAGGCTTGCCTCTTTATTGCCCATTCTCCATGGAGTAGGCCAGATATAACTCATGGTTTTGAGTATATTCACAGATATGTGCAACCAACATCAAAGTCAATTTAAAATATTTTCATCACCTCAAAAAAAAAACACCAAACCACCGTATCCTGTTAGGTATCAACTCTCCTTTCCCCTAATAACTCCAGACCTAAATAAGCAACAACTAATAAATCCTCTGCCTCTAAAGATTTGACTATTCTAGACATTTCATATTAATAGAGCCATGTAATTTGTGGACTTTTGTGACTTGCCTGTTATTTAACATGTCTTTGAGAATCACCTATGTTGTAGCATGTATCAGTACTTCACTCCTTTTTATGACCAAATAATATTCCATTGTATACCACATTTATCCATTTAGTAGTTCAACATTTAGGTTGTTTAGTCTTTATTCTGTGGGTTGTCTTTCTTCCTTTGTTGCTTATGCTTTTGGTGTGGATTTTGAAGAATCCACTGCCAAATCTGAAGTTATGAAAATTTACCCCTATGTTTCTTCTAAGAGCTTTACACTTCTAGCTTTTACACTGAAGGCTGTAATGATTTTAAGCTAATTTTTGTATATGGTGTGAGGTAAGGGTACAACTTCATTCTTTTGAATGTGACTATCCAGTTGTCCCAGCACAATTTGTTGAAAAACAAAACAAAAAACCATTCCCAATTGAATGGCATTAGTAAACCTTGTCTAAATCAGCTGACCACAAAAATATGGTTCTATTTCTCAATTCTCAAATGTATTCCAGTGATTTATATACCTATCTTTATGTCAGTACTACACTGTCTTGATTACCACTGCTTCATACTAAGTTTTGAAATTACAAAGTTTGAGTCCTCCAACTTTGTTCATTTTCAAAATTATTTTGGCCTACCCAAGGTCCCTTGCAATCCAAAATGAATTTTACAATTGGCATGTAAACATCTACAAAGATGTTACCTAGGATTCTGATAGATTGCACTGAATGTGTAGATCAGTATGAGTAATGCCACCTTAACAGTAAGTCTTCTGATGCATGAACAGTGGATGAATTTCCATTTACTGAGATCTTCTTTAATGTCTTTCAACAATGTTTTACAGATTTCAAAGTATAAGATTTGCACTTTTGTTTAACTTAGCATTATTTCATTTCTTCTTTTTTTTAAGTAGACTCCACGCCCAGTGTGGAGCCCAATGTGGGGCTTCAACGCGTGACCCTGAGATCAAAACCTGAGCTGAGATCAAGAGTTGGACACCTATCCAACTGAACCACCCAGGTGCCCCTATTTCATTCTTTTTCATGCTATCATAAATTGTTTTTTCATTGTTACTTTAAGATTGTTCATTGCAAGCATATAGAAAATTGATTTTTTTTGTATATTGATCTTATATCCTGCAATCCTGCTGAACTTATTTGTTTTAATAATTTTTTTTACATTTCATAGGGTTTTCCATATATAAATTCATGTCAACTGCAAACAGATAGTTTTTACTTCCTTCTTTCCAACCTGGATATTATATTTTTGCATGCCTAACTGCCCTGGTTGTACAATGTTGGACAGAGGTTGCAAGTGCAGACACCAGGTCTTGAGTCTGAACTTAGGGGGAAAGAATCTTTCACCAGCAAGAATGATTTTCACTGTGAGTTTTTCATAGATGCTGTTAATCAGGTTGAGAAGTTCCATTCATAGTTGATTTGTTTTCTACTTCTTCATTTTCCTAAAAAGGTGTTGGGTTTCACCATTTTTCCTGTGCCTACTGAAAATGATCATGTGGTTTTGTTTTTGGTTCCATTGATATGTTATATTACATTCACAGATTTTCAGTTGTTAAACCAAACTTACATTCTTGGGATAAATCCCACTTGATCATGGTATGTAATCCTTTTCATATACTGAATTAAATATGCTGGTATTTTGTTGAGGACTTCCGTGTCCATATTTAAGAGATACTGACATGTAGTTTTCTTGTGATGTCTCTAATTTTGGCATTGGCATAGCATCATCCTTATAGATTTAGTGATAAAATAGTCTCTCCTTTTCTATTTTTTGGGAGAGTTTGTGAGGAACTGGTATTCTGATTTAAGCATCTGGTAGAATTCAGGAATAAAGCCATCTAGGCCTGAGCTTTCTTTGTGGGTACATTTTTTATTACTAACTCAACTTCTTGTCATAGGCCTAGTCACACTAAATCTCATTAGTATTTTTCTAGAAATGTATCCATTTCAATAAATTCTCTAATTTTTTGGCATATTACTATTCCTAATAAATCTTTATAATCCTATTTAATGTAAATTTGGCAGTAATGTCCCCTCTTTCAGTTCTAATTCTAGTAATCTCTCTTTTTTTTCTTGGTCAAACTAAAGTGATGCCAATTTTGTTGATCTTTTCAAAGAACCAGGTTCTTGTTTTATTAATTTTTCTCTATTACTTTTCTATTCTGTTTCACTGATTTCTGCTCTAATCTTTTATTTCCTACTTTGGCCTGTTTTACATTTAGTTTGCTCTTCTTTTTCCAATGTCTTAAGGTGAAAGATGAGGTTACTGATTTGAGATTTTCCTTCTTTCATAATATAGTAATTTACAGGTAGAAATTTTTCCATACACATTTAAGCTCTATCCCATACTGTCTGCATGATAGATCTTTTCCCATCTTTTTATTTTAAATGTTTGTATCTGAATTTAATGTGTGTCTCCTGCCAAGGGCATACAGCTAGATATTTTTTTATCGACTGCTGACAGTTTTTTATTATATTGCTTAATCCATTTTGTTATTGATATAGTTCAATTTAGGTGTGCCATTTTGCTTTTTATTTTTTATGCAACTATTTTATATGTTTACCATTCCTTTATTCCTTTACTGCTTTTTTAGTATTTCGTGAATATTTTCTAATATAGCATTGACATTTCTTTAATAATATAAATATATAGATATATACACACACATACCACCTTAGTGGTTGCTGTAGAACTTGCCATGCGTATCTTAATTTATTAGAATCACTTTCTAATTTATACTACCTTAATTCTAAGTAAGATACAAAAAATTATTCAAATATAGCAGTATTCCCCCCATGGTATTATTATACATATTGTATCTATATTACAAATCAACACATTTTTATAATCGTTACTTAATTCTGTGTTTTTAAAAAAGATGAGAAAACAAACATATTTAGTTATATTAATTTTATCAATCCTGGTTCTCTTCATTGGCTCTTGTAGTTTTGAATTACCATATTAAGTCATTTACTAAGCTGTAATACAGCTCTGCTCTGACCTACCTTGTTTTTCTATGATTGGCAAATAGATTGTATTTCTGTATGTTGTAGGTACAATATATACATATTGTATATATAATGCAAAAGAGGAAAAATGTATTCATACTGTCTTTATTATTACAGTTACCCTTACTGGTGCTATGGATTAAAATTATTGTTTGGGGTCACTTGCTTTTGGCCAGAAGAACTTCTTTTAGTATTTCCTGTAAGGTGGTTCTGATAACAGTAAATTCTGTTTTTGTTTATTTCAGAATGTTTTTATTTCATCTTCAGTTTTGACTAACAGTTTTGCTAGGATTCTTGGTTGACAGTTTTTTCTTTGAGCACTTTGAATGTCATCCTATTGGCTTCAAGCTTCCACTATTTCTGCTGAGAAGTCGGTTGTAAATCTTACTGAGTTCCCCTTGTAGGAAATGAATCATTTTTCTTTTGTTTCAAGATTTCCCTTGTCTTTGGTTTTCAACATTTTACTAAGATATGCCTTTTTGTGGATCTTTCTGAGTTTATCTTAGAGTATGGTGAGCTTCTTAGGTGTATTGTTTTTCAATAAATAAATGTGGGACTTTTCAGACATTATTTCTTCAAATATTTTTTCTGCTCATTTTTTCCCTCTCCTTCTGAAATATATATGAGTATGTTATTACAACTAATAACATCTCATCTCTCTCTGAGGGTTTGTTCATTGTTTTTTCTTTCTGTTCTCTGGATATTTTACTGATCTTCAAGTTTATTAATTCCTTCTTTTAGGAGTGTCTGGCTGGCTCAGTCCATAGAGCATGTGACTCTTGATCATTGGGTGGTGATTTCAAGCCCCATGTTAGGTGTGGAGCCTACTTAATAAAAAAGTAAAAATAATAAACATTGTTTAATTCTTTCTTTAAAAAAACATTTGTTTTTTGTACATTTGATGTTTAATGTACATTTGATGTACATTATATGTCATCTTTGCACAGGGGTCATGCTAATCTTCTCTGTATTGTTCCAATTTTAGTATGTGTACTGCCAAAGCAAGCACATGTACATTCAAATGCACATAATGTAAGTGTGCACTTTGGTGAATTTTGGCATATGTATACACCACAACCACATACGTATACACCACATATCCATAATGCCCCAAACTCCTTGTGCCCCTCTGTACTCCCATTCTTCTTCCCCATCCCAACAACACACCCCCAAGCAACCACTGAACTGCTTTCTGTGATGACAGGTTTTGCATCTTCTAGAATTATATATAAATAGAATGTGCAATATGAGATTTTTTGGGGGGGCTGGTCTGTCTTCTTCCATTCAGCTTATTTTGATATTTCTTCATGATTGTGGTAATAGTTCATTTTTTAAAAGATTTTAAACACTTCTCGCATTTTATTTATGAAAAATCTGTGG